AAGTTTCTCAGCTAGAGTCAGCAGAGCTGGGGCTTTCCTCCAGGTTGGCCTGATTGCAGAGCACGTGCTAAACCGCCTGCCACAAGAAAGGTGTCATGAGGAAACAGCTCAGGGATTGCTGCAGCATCGTTGCCAAAGGTGGATCTAAGGTATTTAAGTATGAGTTGGAATCTGCCATGCAGAGAAGAGCATGATGGGAAGGGAATTTCAAGGCAAAAGGAATAAACATCACCACAAACAAAGGTTATGCAACAGCATGAGAAGGCAGGAGTTTCTGCGAATGGAGAAACATGTCCAGGAAATAGCAGATGAGTTCCAGAAAATATTACATATTCTTCAAAGTCGTCCTTTTTTTTGGGGGGGGGGTACTGGGGTTTGAACTCAAGGTCTCATAATTGCTAGGCAGGCACTCTACCACTTGAGCCACTCCACCAACCCAAATTAGTCTATTTTTTAAAAATCCTTTTTCAAGTAACATTTTTACCAGAGGCAACAACTCTGAAGATCAGGCAAGTAAAATGTACTGCTTTTCTTCCTGAACACTACCTGGAAGCACAAAAAAATAATCCACAACTCCAAGGTTGTTTATTTTCAATAAATAGGGTATAGTTGATTTATTTCTCTTCCTCCAGAAAGTTAAGAGTACATTCAGTGAACTGAGACTTTGCTGAATGTGATTTGTGGCAATGTTTTATGGTCCATGGGAAAAAAAAATCCTCTTATGTTTTCATAACGGTCTTTCTAGGTAGATGAACTGAAATCACTGGAGTTAGGCAAAAATGTTCCATTGTTATAGCATAGTCTTTTAGGAAACCCAGCATGGCAGTTGTGTATTGTATAACAATACCCAACACAATGGAGTTATAAAGAGAAAAAGTTTCATTTTGGTTCATGGTTCTGGAGGTCTAATCTTTATTTGGGTCACAAGGCAGCACATCCTGATGGGAGTGCAAGGTGGAGCAAACTGCTCACCTCATAAGCCAGGAAGCAAAGAGATAGGAGGAAGAGGCTGGAGTTCCAAAATTTCTTTCAAAGGCATGTCCCCAGTGACCTGACAATCTCCCACCAAGCCCCACCTCCTAAAGATTCTATTGCCTCCTAATAGTGCCACCTTGGGACCAAACATTAAATACCCAGGCCTTTGGGGGATATTGAACATCTAAACTATAGCAGTGGTGGAGACCATCAGTGTTTGGCTGGATTGGCTGGCTCGATCTCAGTGCTTCCCTTACAAATTCCTTTAACCTTTCTGTACTTTGGCTTCCTCAGCTGCAAAATGGGGAGATAATGACAGGACTGTTGTGAGGATGTGAAATGTGAGAAGTCCCTAGAGCAGGGCCTGGCACAGAGGAACACTTCACATCCATAAATTGTTATTATTTCAGAAAGGTAGCTGTATACATCGAATCATTTTCTGTATTATGTCATAATCTATTCTTCCAGGGAATTATGAATATATAAAGAAAGATATGAAAAATATCAATATTTTAGGATGATTGTGACTCTAATAGAATACCCAACTTAAAATGACTGAAGTGGGGAGGGGGATTAAAGGAGAATGATGAAGGGGGCGGATTCAACTGTGATGTATGGCAAGAACCTTTGTAAATGTCATAATGTACCCCTAGTACAATAATAATACAATAATAAAAATTTAAAAATGACTTAATAGGATTTTATATTTATTTATTTTTTGCAATGGTGAGGATCAAACTCAGGACCTTGTGCATGCGAGGCAAGTGCTCTACCACTGAGCCACATCCCATGCCCTTAGTGTTTCTGAGACAGGGCTTTCTGCGTAGCCTGAACTCATGTTCCTCCTGCCTCTGCCTTCTGAGTGCTGGGATTACAGGTGTGCACCATCACGCCTGGTGAGATTCTCTTTTAAATCTCACATTCTGTATATCACCGAAACTAAGACACCATTGCTCATAAGACACATCCCATATTCAGAAATATTAAACATAAAAATGTGTCTCTGATTGAAAACAAAAGGTCTGAAGGCCAGGGGCTCTGGGACTGGCTATTTCTGCAACATCAAGGACTCCTGTTCTTTCTTCTTCCCAATCTGCCTTTACAGGCCTTTAGCTCTTGCTTTGAAGAAAGCCTCACAGATGCCAGATGGCAGCAGTAGTCCCAAGTGTCACATCTTCATAATGTCCCAAAACCAAAAGAGAGGCTGTTGTTTTTAAAAGCAAGAAAACTTCCCCAAACATGGCCAGGATTGCACTGTAGACAAGATGGAGGAAGAAGAGCTTCCAGCATACAGATGTACTTCCTGTGAAATCACTAGTACAACTGCTCCACGTGTAAGCAGTCAGCTGCTGGCGATACTGCCTCCCCTCCCTCGTGTTCTTATTAATGAAGTTAAAGATTCCTTTCACTATTAGGAAATTAATGTCAACATCACAAAGATCATTATCTATTATTGTGGGCTTCAGGTACCCCGTCTTAAATCCTGTCAGTGAGTGCCCAAATACAACAGCCCAGCTGACTAGACATTTTCTCTTTGTTTTCACAGCCTGGGTCCCTGAACAACACTGGGGACTTGTGCTATGTTCTGCTCCTTATCTATTGTCACTTATCACTATATTATGACTCTTCCCATGTTAATAAATACAGTTCTGTTCTAGTCTTGTAGAATGGCTGTATAATTCCACTATACTTAAAACTTGAACGTACTAGATCTTACAGCAGTGAGTGCAAACAATATCACAGTAACTTTAACACTTCATTCTCACCAGCTCTGTCCTTGGCTGCTCATTCAGGAATTCTAATGCAGTCTTTGAAGTTTCTCCAGTTATTTATGGACTGCCTCCACAGTTGTACCTCACATGTGCTCTGGCACAGGGCCTCTTGTATTTTGCTGCAGCCTCTTGCCCCCTTCCTAACTGCCCGTGGCACCTCCACTGGTTGTGACCTGCTGCTGTTCCACTAAGCACTACTGTGTGCTCGGCAGGTGTGAAAGCTACACAGTGACCTATGGCAGAATAAGGAGCAGTAAAGAAGGATTCTTACCACACATTGGGTGGCAACTAGTTTGGAGCCCAAGACAGCCTGGCTAGAGCCCAGAGTCTGTCTTCTAGAAATCAGCTCTCGTAGACTCTCTCATCTTCATTCTTCCTGCCACCAAGTTGCTACAAACAGTGGAGCAGGTGCCTGGCTTTTCATTTTAACATTTCTGATTTGTCCATAACTATCCTTGCTAACGTCAAAACTCCTCTTCCCTTCCCCTCTGCCATCCAAAGAAAGTTCTTATATATGAGAGCCATTCGTTCATGGTACAGAATAAGTCTGCAGTAAAAACAGTGTCCACAGGCTGAGATCAGACCCTGACTCTGCTAATTCCTAGTTGAATTTGGGCAATTTACTTCATCTCTCAATGCTTCTGTTTCCCAGTCTGTAAAATGGGATAGTCCTGATAGTATTTCACAGGGCAGCTCTAGGGATTGAACGAGTTAATATACATAAGGTATTTGATGTGGTGAACAGCACCTAATAAATGTATGAAGTACTAACTACCTTTATTATCTTGCACAAGCAACTTTTTGACAAATTCCTCAGAATTCCCTCTCAAGTCTCAAATGAAAGGAACTTAGTTTGCAGAGAGAGGACACATTCTTCCTTTTAGTATTAAAATAAATTGTCTTCAAGGGAAAGATAGAGAAACCCAAGGACAAAAATTCCTGCTGAACAGATTAATGATTATTTGCTTAGTACCTATTGTGAGCACAGGCAGCCAAACATCAAACTGGGCATTGTGAAGGAAGTAAAAAGAAAAAAAAAAAAAAATTAAGAGACTTCTCCTGCCCTTGAAGAGCTTACAGTCAAATAAAGGAAGGTAAACATAAACCAAGTGATCATTTGAAAATAAATCCCAGCAACATATTGCTGTATACGGAATGAAATAATCCAGCTACATGACAATGGGGTGAGGGTAATGCAGACAAGGCTTTGTGGTCTTGACAATTTAAACTCATTTCCAAAATAGGTAAAAATTCTGGTCCTGACTCTGGTCCTTTGACCTTCAGAAGCCCGTTGCCGCTGGCTCACATCTGTACTCCTAGCTACCTGTGAGGCTGAGATGGGGAGAATCCAGGTTCAAGTCCAACCCTGTCAAATACTTCACAAGACCGCCCCCCACCCGCCATCTCCAAAATTACCAGAGCCAAATGGACCGGAGGTGTGGCTCAAAAGGTAGAGCACTTGCTTTGCATTGCAAGCGCGAAGACTTGGGTTCAAATCCCAATACCACCAAACAACAACAAAACTCGACCCCCGCATTGTACAATATACAAAAAACAAAAGTACAAACCAAACCCAAAAACGAAGCCAGGGCGGTGCCTAACAAATGACACTCAGAAGATCAGCGGGGGTTACATTATTCTCTGCTGTATTTGCAATTTAATTTGCTACTACCCCCTGCGCCCCTACTTGGGAGGGGACCCCTGGGCGGCGCGGGGTTCCTGGGGACTCTGGTGCCCCCTGCCGCCCGCGCCCGGCCTCTCCTGTCTTAAAAGTACGAAGGATTCTCTCGGCATCTCCCTCCCCTTTACTAACCCAACGAGTCATCCCAACCAACCCTTCTCCGCCCAAACTAAAATCTGCAGAGCAATTAAAAATGAAATTCGGCCTGGCCTTAGTTTTCTCATCGGTCACTGCCGCTTCGAACTTTCTGCGCCTCCCGGTCTTGGCTGGCAATAGTCTGTGCGCTAAGCTCGGCGACTTTTTGGATGAAGCGACCATCACCTCGATTTTCCGACTGCGCGCGGTTCCCTACACACAGCAAGCTTCCCACCCCAAACCCTCTGCTGCCCCTGGTGGCAGCCACAATCTCACCTCGGCTCCGCAGTCACGCTGAGGTTGAGGCGGCTGTCTTTCGGTGACGGTCGTTTTGAACTACGCTTCCCATCATCCCTTTTTCTTACCATCGCGATATCTCAGGCGAGACTTTCGGAAAGATTGCGCGCAGGCGCGATCTCGCGTTCCTTTTGAGGTCCGCCTCGTGTCTGGAAATCATGGTGGCTCTCGTTCGTGTTGTACGCGGTGGGTATCTTCAGCCTTTTGGAGACGGTAAGGTTGTGGAGGTGGGGAAGTTAGGATTTCCTCCACCTGGCACTAATACGCTTGGTCTCCTCTTTCTCAGAGGTGAAGTGATGACAAGTCGGGTTTCCCCCACCCCCAGAATAGTTGGGAGGTTTGAGATACTGTATGAGAAAATGCTTTCCATGTGGCCAGAAATTTTATGTGAAGGAAGAGAGCTGAAGCCTGTTTGGGGAGTCGAAGAGCCTTTCCTTGCAGAGAGGGTCAACCACCCATGTGCTGAGCTTGGGCAGCGTGCACGCCCTGCGGGCCGGGGTCGGGGGGGGTCTCCCTTGCCCGCCTACGGGCAAACTGCCTGACAGTGGCAGCTCTTAATTCAGCATCAAGAGTGTTAAAGTGTAAATACGGAGCTTACACTTGGGAGTGTCGAAGACAACTCAACCAGTCCTTTTTACTTAAGGACTACAGAGAGTAATGAGTGGGATTGTAGACTGGAAATTCGTAATTTTAACAACGGACCTTTTTCATTTCTTGAAGGCCTTTCTTTGGTGTCTGTCGAGATGATGAGGAACAGAGCTGCGGGTTCCATCATAAAAGTTATGGATGGACTTTTGGTAAAAATGAACAGAAGCAGGACGTGGATGGTCATCAGAAATGAGAAAGCAAAGGTAGTGTAACGCCTGTCACACACATTCGCCGGTTCAGCGTGGTGCATTGAATGCATGTTGACAGCTAAATCCCTTTAGAGGAAGAAAGCTACCTGGAATCAAGATTTCTAATTGTTTGAATGGTAACACTCAGGAGAGTCTGCCAGCATAATTGGAGCCTCTAGGTGTCATTGTTCAAAACCATCATGGATGCCACTGTGTACAGGGATGAAAGAGATTGGAAAATAAGATCAGGTTGGCTTTGGTTTAGGATTTTGCTACTGGTTGAGCTGAGGATGATTTAAGGTTATCCCTGTCTGAAAAGACATCTTTGGTGAGGAGTTCTGATTTACTGAGGCTCAGCTTAATACATATTTTTTTGAGAGTAAGTGCCTTAAGATTGTTTCTGTTAATATGAGTTGCATTATTTCTTTTAGATTGAAGATATTGGCTATGGACTTTTAGAAAAAGTCATGTGAAAATCCATCATCTTAGGATGTTGAGCTTAAAGGACTTAGTGGTGAAACTTCTATAAATGGTAAGGCTTTTATCTCTTTCATAGAATTGCATGGTCTCTTGAAGTATTGATCTGTTAGATATGAGGTTGTGGGATCTTCCAGGACTGTGATTATCCATGTAGGGGAAGTAGTGTGGAATTCTTTCTGCTTGACTCTTTGTCAAGCACCCTCACAAACACTATTTGTCTTAATAACACTATGTGAGTTGTCTCCCCCCTCCCACTCTGCTGCAGAAAAAGTGAAACTGAGGTTTAGGGAGTTTTGTCCAAAGCTATATAACCAGTTACTGAATTAGATTAGATCTAACTGGTTCTCAAGTGGACTAGAGGGTACTCCTGACATCTAGTGGGTGCTGCTAAATCTCCTTCAAGGTACAGGACAGTCCCTGTGGGAAGAACATACCCACCTACAGTGTCAGAACTGAGGCTGAGAAACCTGTGCAAACTCCATGTTAATTAACTGACATCTGGACTCTAGTCTAAGCCTGATATCAGGTTAGGGCACCAGAGCCTTGTTTCTTCATTTGTACAACACGGTAAGTGGTTTTCAAACCTGGTTATATTTCAGAACCACCTACAAAGTGTTAAAATGTACACATTCCTGAGTCCCACCTCCAGCCACGGATGAGAATGGTTCAGGAGTGGGCCCAGGAACCACGTGGGCAGTTTAAGAGCAACTGTGTAGGAACAGTTTGATAATCTGATCTGCTTTTAGCTTGAGGCTTTATTACACCAAGATTATAGTGCTGGCTATTTTTAAGTAGCTCTTGGGGCAGATCACTAACCCTCCGTCTTAAAACTCTGAAAGCCACATGCTTGCTCTACTGGGTAGTTTTGTTCGTGCAGATGGCTGTAACAGTGTCATTGTAGCAGGTGCTGTTTATGTGACTGGCCTTCAGAAAACCAGCTGCAATGATGAGTGGCCTGCACTATGTCAGGCGTTTTACTAACATGCTAGAAAGACTCAGCTATCAGATGCTCTGTGCTGAGAGTGACCTTGGCTTTTGGTTTTTTGGGCCACCATGTGGCCCAGGCCACCGTTAGACTTGCTGTAGCACAGACTGGCCTCAAACCTGGAATCCTCTTGACTCATCCACTGGAGTGCTAGTGACACTGCTTTAGCAAGGCAGGAGCTGATCTTATGCCAGGTCTGGGACACTTAGATATAGGACACTAGACAGTAAATATAAGCAGTTTTCTGTGGAGGTAAAGCCTAGTCTAATAAAATAGCCAAGGTTGATAGTTTCATGAGGGAAGTAAAGTTATGTTTTGATAAGAGAAAAATAGTTTGCCTGGTCTGTGGCTGGTGGTGCTGTGGGCTGGCAGATCTATGGGAGCCGAGTCCATGATGATGTAAAGTTATCCCTGTCTGAAGGCAAAGAAGGGCCTTCCTGTGTGGAATGTGGATATCTGAAAGTCGGCTTCTCAAGCTTGCCTTCTACAAAATTTAGGCATGTTTTAAAGAGATACTTGAAAATTACCCTGTGTATATGTAAATCCTTTTTTTTTTTTCCCCCCCAGTTCTCTTTCTTCACCAGGTGCAGTCTCAGTTTCTGAGACTGTATAAAGATCCTTCAGAAGCCACACTGTGGCAGCCAGTCACCCTGGACCTGGACTTGACCCTGGATCCAAAGTGGAGTATCTCATGCATGTAAGCAGAAGGCCTTCCAAACAGGCTTAGGGAGTGTCAGTTCATGCTGCTCCCCTGCCGTGGACTGAGGGCTGTGCTAAGTGGCAGGGACACTTTAACATAGTTTGTTCTGCCTAGATGTCTGCTGTGTGAGACAGAGCTGCACTGCTTTGCCTCAGGCTCCTCTCCTGTTGTTTGTAAGCTTTATGTTCCCATTTTCTGTATCCCTAAGCCCGCCCACAAGCCTATGATGGTTAGTTATCCCTGTCTGAAAATCTTCACTGAGGGAAAATAGTCTGTTCTGAGGCTGAGGGGTGTGGCTCCATGTGGCAAAAGAAGTTCAGACTTTATAAGGGCTGGAGCTGAGCAGGCTCCACAGGATGTTGTGTGCACTGAGATCCAGTCTCGTGCATCATCCCTCTGAAACTCAAAACAAAGCTATGCTTGCCCTGTGAATGCTCTGGCCCTTTTTGATGGCTTTGGCACACAGGCCCTATGAATTGGCAGAAATGGGCAAATAACCGAGGCTCATTTTCTACTTCATTGTGGAATGAAAAGGGTGCTTGTCACATATTTCTAGGAAATGAATATGCTCTTTGAAACTGAGGTGGGAATGTAGAATGTGTGCCAGCTTGTGTCCTTGAGAATGTTTAGTGACTCCAACTTGCCTCTCCACAGTGCCCTGACATTTAAGAGAGGAAGAGAGCCGTGATTGGCCCTGGCAGAGCTGTTTGGTTTCCAGACACTTTGTAACCATGGCCAGCCCCCCACCCTCACCCAAAATGGCATGGCTGGCCACGGAGCTGCTCCTTGGGCAGCAGAGGCTGGCATATGAGCACGAAAAAAGAAGTGGTGTATGGCGTGGGTAAGGAGGGTCTTTGTTCTCACTTAAATGCCAGGCTTGAAGTGGCTCTTTTCTGTGGAAACAGATTTGTGTATAGGCTCTATATTTAAAGTCACAGTATTGTTTGGTTACCAAGGAAGCTGCATTTAGGGTGAGATTTAATGAGCCCGAAAACTGGCCCCAACAGCTTACAGTCTGCAAATAAAGCAAAGTAAAAGGGCAGGTTAGCAAATGGGAAGGGCGTACTTTGTGCTTCTGAATGTACGTGACTGCCCTACAGAATTCAAGTAAACGTTAAGGTTCTCGACCACAGGGAATTGAATATAAATATTCCTGCTGCTTCGTGAGTGTTCTGAGTGTTCTTTTCTGGCCACTTAGAAACTTCTCCCTTAGATACCATCTTAAAGTGAGTCATCTTGGAACCTCACCAGCCTGCATTGAAAAGTTTGATAGTGCTCAGTTGTGCTCCCCAAAACACATGTGCCCAGTAAAATGGTCCCAATGAGTTCTGCACTGGTTGCCTTTTTGTTCCTAGGTCATCTTTGTTAATTCCTATTCTCCTTTGCTTTTATAGGTTACCTCTCAGCCATACAGGAACAGTACAGCCCTGCTTCTGCTGCTAATGGCCTCCATAATAATCTCTCCCAAAGAGAATCATTGAAGAGTTCTTTAATTTTCAGCTTCAAAAGTAGCCAAGAAATTGGAGAGACTAAGATATCTCAGAAAACCTTTGGCAGTTAGTTAGTGAAATTGGGGTGACTAAATCTCCAGAACTCTAGTTGAGGCGGTGTGTAACCTCATGTGTAGGTGGGACTGGGGTGGTTGTAAGTTGAGATGAAGTAATTAAAGTGCATAATCTGTTTGAGAGGTGCCTACAGAAGCATTTCCTAAGAAATTACTGTGTTGGGTTTACATTTTGAAGCACAAGTAAAGTCTTTTTTGAAAAAGTTGCCATACTAGCATTGTGGATTTGAGATTGAAACCTACAGTAAGAAATTTGTTCTGTAACTTGGGAGACATTCTTACAAATTTCACAGAATATTACTTAATCTTTGGAACTTGATGTTTTCTGATTTCTTAACTTGCCTGCTGCCCACAGCATTGCTTTTAACATTTCAAATCTAATGAAGCATTGATAGAGGTACTCCAGTTTTGGTGGGAATGAGGGAAAATAGAGAATGGTGGATCAAAATGAGTCAGGGCAATGCCAGGTTACCAAGGCTATTGAGTTCCTGCATCACTGTAAGTGACCATCGGTCCATCACTGTAAGGTATTGAAATAGACTTTGAAGACCAGAGGAATGAATGCCTTACGCATTTCACACTTGACTACATTCTTTCCAAAGCAAGTATTTTGTCATAGGAACATACTGCTCTGCTGGAGACTGAGGGACTGTTTGATGTAGCCAAGGTAAAGCCAGCTGGGAGGTTTGGTCCTGATGCCAATAACAAATAACACTGTTCCTGCTAGTCTCACTCCTGCCCTCCAGGCTGCAGGATGCTGTGCTTTCCCCAAGTAGCTGCTTTAGTAATTAAAGCCCAAGTGGCCTATTGATCAGCTATCTCTGGATTTCTAAAGTGTTATCCCCCTACCCTCTTAGGAGACCCGATTCCTGGGTCTTGGTGAATTAGCCAGTGTGGATGGATGCTGTCTTGGCAAGTCTCACTAGCTGTCCCTGGGAAGATACCTCCCTATGCCTTGCAATGTAGCATATCACACCCTCCAAAGCCACTTGTCATCAAGCTTTTGAATACCAGGGCTTGGTTAAGGGTTGTGTGATAACTTGGTTGAGACTTAAAAGGTCTATTAGCAACACAAGTTCAAGTTCACTGAGGCTGTGATGTGAGGATGAAAGTTCATTACTCAGTAAAATGCCATTGTGACAAGGCAGGGATGCATCTCTAACAGAACTTGTTGCAGTGGCAGGCAGGCTTTGGTGCAATTCACGTTCACCACGCACCTGTACCTCCCATTGTTCTTGAATTTTTATTTTTATTTTTGGTACAGAGCTGGCTATGGAACCCCACCCACACTAGCCCTTGTTGGAGTCTTATAATCCCTGCTAAACACCCTACATTTTATATGCTTTCTCTACTTCAACACAAGACAACAAAGTGGTCATCTATGCAATCATCTCAAATTACACTACCTTTTGTTCTTCCACTTTATTATGGGGCAGAAGAATCATGTTCTCAGAAAGCTTCTCAAGAAGCATCCTCAGAGGTTGAATTGCTTTGGCATTTGTGTGGGGCTTGACATGTCAGTGGGAGGGTTTGGTTGGGGATCATGAACTTGCCCCCATGGCTGCTTGATGTTGTGGTCAGCAAAGCCCTGTTTAGGACCACTGACAGTCCTGAAATCATTCAGTACCAACTGCTGTCTTTGAACTGTTTATCTCTGAGGTGAGCTTGCCTCTTGAGAGGGTCACCGTCTCATTTTGGGAGTGTTCTCTTTACTTCAAAACAAAACCAATGAAGCAGTCCGCTCTCTCTTGGCCAAGGTGGGATGTCTGCCTCAGACCCAGAGGGTTTTCTTGAATGAGCCAAAGACAAGATAGGGCATTCTGCATTGAACAGGTTTTGGTAATGACTGTGGTCTGTCTCAATACCCTCCGCTGGGAAGGAGGAAAGGGTCAAGGGGAGTAAAGCCCCTTTCAGAGGTTGAAAAGTTAAGAAAAAGGCTTTTGGCCACTTGGGATCAGGGCCATAGCTTTGCAAGAAGCAAAGATCTTGATGCTTTCGGGTTAACGCTGGTACAGCCAAAGGATGCCAGCCTTGTGCAGCTTCCTCCACAGGGCAGCTTCTAGGCGCAGGTCATGGTTCACATAGAATATCAGTGGTTTCATTTCCCGTTCGAAGTAGTGGTCAGAATATTTCCTGTAGTTGCTTGTGATGAATCCATAGGCACTGACCTGGACAAGGACAGTCACTGATTAGTATTCATTGAGCTTCCATGATGTGTAGACAGTCTTGTGTGAAGTGACATGAAATCAGAAAGGTGTGTCATACCCTCAGGCAGGTGCCTGTGTGAAGATACGGGTAAACGCACGAGCTTACATGGACACTGCTCTTTTTGCACATTTTCTTCAAGCTGGCCCTGTGACCTCAGATAATGCTTATCCCCATTAAGCAGACAGGGAAATGGAGAAGTTACTAAATGTGTCCCTGCTGATGTAGTGAGTCCCTACTGGGTTTGGAACTTGGACTCTTCAAATTCTGGGATGGAGGTAATAGTCCATTATTACCTGACTCCAGCCCTATAAAAGGCTGTCCCTACCCTGCTCTGTTAAGATTTTACTTTCAGAAGAGCAGTTTGATAATTCGCACCTTAAATACCACATAAACAGTGAAGGAGGGAAGCACTGGGATGGGGGATGTGGAAGGCAAGGCTGTCAGGGCTGGAGGCGTGGCTCAAGTGGTAGAGCACCTCCCTAGCAAGTACAAGACCCTGAGTTCAAGTCCCAGTACCACCAAAAGGAAAAAAGAAAAAGGTGAGACTGGCCCAGGCTCCATCCTTTATAGGATCCCAGATAGTAGGTAAGTGGGCAAGTGGGTAGACAGGGCACTCCTGCTGCTGGGGAGTCCTTTGCCTGAGATATAGAGGCTGAGAGTCCCACCTCTGTGAGCGGCAGGTCTCAGGAAGGAATATGAGGTCATCCTGAGTTCTATCCATACCCCTGCTCTGCTGCCACGGACTCCTGAAAGAGAAGACCTACCTGGTCACAGGTATGCAAAGCTGTCAGTAGCATGAGGGCCCCAGTACTAGGCATATAGACATTTCCAAAATTTGTGTTAATCAGTTTTGATTTCAAAAACCTGAAAGTTAAAAAAAAAGTGTTAAAACCCAAGAAAGACACAGGTGTCAAACACTACAGCTACTCATTCAAAGAGGTTGGAAAACCGTACCTACAGGCTCTTCTACCCCAACCAGTTCCCTATTTGGGGAAAATGCCAAGTGAACTCCTAAGTATGATTTGGTTGAAATAAATACCTATGTGTGGCAAGGGGGAGGGAGGGTGTGAGAAAGAGGAACCCCAGGTGAGATCCTTCTCATTTTCTCTCACTCTGCAACACCCTTTCAGTCACAGATGGCCTATTTATTTAGCCTGAGACCTAAGTTTTTCTCTACCCCACTACCCCACATCTTTTTTCTCTCTACCTCACATCTTTTTTTTTTTTTTTTTGGCAGCACTGGGGTTTGAACTCGGGGCCTCACACTTGCTAGTCAGGTGGCCTACCTACTTAAGCCACTCCTCCAGTCCCTCTCCCCCACATCTTGACTAAGCAGGAACTATGAGCAGGGAGCTCAGGTCCTGAGTCTGGATTTTCCTGTATGGTGGTGCCCAAAGGCCCTGGCCTCAGACCTGGATTCCTGTCTAAGCTTGACCAGGCAGGTCACTTAAGCTTGCTGAGCCTGTTTCTTTCTCTGCAGAAGGGCTAGAGCTTCCCTAGATCTACTTGCCAACCTTCTCACTTGCTCCCTGTCCAGGGATGTTTGCCCTCTGTAGTCTACAGTGGGGTTTCTCAACCGTGGCACAATTGACATTGGAACCAGATGGTTCTTTGTTGCGGGGACTGTCAAATTCGCTACAGGCTTCTACCTACTAATGCTCCCTGCCGTTGTGACAACTAAAAATGTCTCCACCAGGAGACCAAATATCACCCCCATCCCACCTCCAGTATTAAAAGCCATTGGCAGGAAGGAAGGAGAGAGGGAGGAAGGAGTGAAGTGAGATAAGGCTGTTTGGTCCCAGTTTCCTCTCATGGGTGGCCTTGGGTCGGCTTGGTTTGGGCCTAAAAGTGGACACCGTGCTTCTCATACCTACAACCCGCTTGCCTTCTGACTCCCCCATACCCAACCTATGCCTTTGTGACTATCCCTAGAAAATCAACCTCCTTGGGTTATCCTGAGTTTCCTGTCCATTTCCTGTTGACTCTGACTACTATCAACCACCTCTATCAAGACAGCAAATAAAAGAGTAAATGAAAAAATAGAAAGTGCTTAGCACTATGTCAGGTGCCTGGCACTCTGTACAAGGGAGGTGGTTACAGTGAAGGGAGCTGGACGTGGAATAGGTGTGCAAAGGGAAAGGAAGGGTTGCTGGTCTTCCCAACTCCCCCACCCCCCCACCCCCCGCAACCCCATCCCATCCCAGTCCCCATACCTCTCTGTCAGGTAGCCGATGAAGTCTGGATGCAGTAGCTTGAATTTACTGGCAGAGGCTTCTGGTCCAAAATAAGTATCAGGCCTAGGACCCACGATAGAAGTGGACAGAACGCCCAGAACCATCGTATTGCAAGTGGGAGAGAGAGGGGAGAGGGAAGGCACTGGGGCGACGGTGATGGCGGTAGGGCCGGGGCTGGGCATAGTAGCGGGAGAAGGGGGTGTAGAAGGTGGCCGGTAGGACGGTGGGCACCACATGAGGCTTCCCGCCTACCAGGACATTGGTGGGTGGAGAGTAGCTGAGAGAGGATGGGGGTGTGAACAGGGCGGGAGGCGTGGGGTAGGCGCAGTTACCTTGGGGAACGTGGGGGGGCGGTGGAAGGAGGGGAAAGTAGAGTGAATCAGGTGGCTGCGGTGGTGGTGGCCGCTCCTGGGCTTTGCAGGGGAAGGGACAGGGAAAGCACCGGTTCAGGGGAAGTGGTGCTGTAGGAGGCTGGAAAAAGGGGGGCTCCTTCATGAAGTGGGGAACATAGGGGGTAATGTAGGATGGAATGCCCCGAATGGGCCCAATGTAGGAGGCCGAGGTGGCAGGGCTGTGGGAGGGGGACCTGGACACAGACCCTGCAGGCGTTAGAGAAGGGTTCCGAGAGAGAGTTTTTAAACCAGACTGGGAAGGAGATTTGGAGGCAGGTGGAGTGGAGGCTTGGGAAGCTCCTCGGGACACATGTTGGATGTGAGGACTGGGGGATTGGGACGAAGCCCGGGAAGAAGGCTGAGAGGCAGTTGGGGTGGGAGGGTGAGAGGTTGGGCGGGAGGAAGACCCCCGGTTGGGGGAAGGGTAAGGGGAAGGGGTTACGCCTCCAGAGTTAGAGTTGGGCGGCTGGCTGGGAGGGGTGACAGCATGGTTAGAACGGGACTGGGAAGGGGATTGGGTAGGGGACGGATTAGGGGTATGGGAGGGGGAGCTCATTGGTGTTGGGAGGCTTATGTCCACCCGGTGACTCTGAGGCGGTCCCCCCAAGAGCCCAGTCCCACCCGTGTCACAGAACCCACCCTCAGTTCTCATGACCAGTGGCAACACCAGGGAGCAATTGTTGGGTAATACAAGGGTGGGGGTGGGGCACTGGCTGGGGGCTGGACACAGGACTGGGGCCAGATGTTGGCCTGCTTTTTTTTGAGGTGATCCTTCACCCTAAGGATCACCTCAGAAGCTGCTCTCTGGGGTGGCTGAGAGGTCCCAAGAGCACAGAGGGAGCTCAGCAGTGGCACTGGTTTCTAAGCACCCGATCCAGGGACAAGACATTGAGAAAGGCAGGGAGTGGGTTCAGGACAGAGGCAGGACATGGGTCAAAGGAGCTTCCTGCTGTGCAGGAAGGTGGGAAGAGAGAAGACAAAGAGCCCTTTGTTCCCACCTCTCAGGATGCTGGGCCTGTGGAAATGTGTTCCTGTCTCCTGGGTGGGGTCCTGAGGGGGCTGTCTGCCCACCAGGGTGAGTGGCATGGATACTGGCCCTATCTCTTAGTTTCTAGAACAGTATTGTCAGTGGGTCCACAGATTCAGCTGTGGAAAGGCCTCTGTCATGGTTGCTTGTCTGTGTCCTTGAGCAGCTGACAGCTGGGTTGGCATTGGAGATGGCAGCCTGAAGCTGAGGCGCTAGGCCTGCTCACCTATTCAGAAGAACTGCCCCTTAAGGGGGTGCGTGATGGCTAACATCTGTAATCCTAGCTGTACTTGGGAGGCAGAGATCAGGAGGATTGCGGTTCAAAGCTAGCCTGGGCAAAAAGTTCAGGCGATCCCATTTCAACCAATGTCATTAGCAGCTATGTGGAGAAGCATATGTAGGATGATCACGGTTCAGCTGGCCCTGACACAAAGTGACAGCCTATCTCAAAATAATGTGGAAAAGTCTGGTGGAGTGGCTCGAGTGGCAGAGATCCTGCTTAGCAAGCTGGAGGCCCTGAGTTCAACCCCTAGAACTGCCAAATTAAGAAAAAAGGAGGAGAGAAAAAGGAGGAAGAAGAGGGAAGGAGAAAGGAGGAGAAAGAAAAACTGCCCCTTGAGCCAGTAAGGGACCAATAGCATCGCCTGGGCTTTGCCAGGGTGGGGTAGACAAAAATAGCACAATTCCCCAGGACTTAATTAATGTTGAATGGCTGAGTATTATTGAGTTTTTAGGGATTTTCTCATTGTCCCTTGCCCTGCTTCTCTATCCCACCATGGGCCATGAGAGCAAGGGGAGACAACCACTTTGTTACCCATCTTGTGCCACAGCCTTACACCATCATCCTTTGACTGCTCACCTGTCCCCTTTATCAGGGCCCTTGGGGACAGGCACACCAAGAATGGCTGATCTCAGCATCAGATATTCACGAATGCTAGAGGGGATGAAGATGTAGCGCAGGTCCTGTCAGAGTGTCAGATAAGACCACATTCAGCTCCTACTTAGAGTGAACAGCACACCACCCAATCTTACCACCAAGTGCCACAGTCCCACTGAGGTACTGTGATGGTTTCAATACATGTTCACAAATTCTTTGTTACCCCTCCCTACAACAGGTGAAGCCTAATTGCCATTCTCTTGAGTGTGGGCTGGACTTTGTGACTAACACAAAAACTTTCTAATGAAATAAAAATTTCCTAAGAAAAAAGGAGAAATCGATGACATATGACTTTGGAGACCAGGTCATAAAAGGTACTGCGGCTTCCTTTCTGTCTCTTAGATCACTCCATCTGAGTATAGTTGGCTGTCATGTGACAAGTGGCCTACAGAACGGCCCAGGTGGCAAGGACCTGGGAGGGTTCCTTCACGACTCTGGCCCCACTCCAGTCTTCAGATGATAACACCCCTCTTCCTGAGAGACCCTGAACCAGACCCACTCTGCTAATCCACTCCCAAATTCCTGACCCATCGAAGTGGTAAATCTTTGTTGCTTAAAGTTTTGAGGTCATTTGTTATACAGCAAGAGATAACTCAGGCAGGTACTTTGGCCACACTAGAAATAAAGCTGCAAAGTTTTGTTTTATCATGAGCTAAGAGAGGTTGTATTAAGGGAACTCAGTGCAGAGACACTATGGCTAGGACACTATCGAATGCACTGGTCAGAAAAAGAAGCTTCTAGAAACCTGACCCAGGCCCATCCAGCCTGGAACACCTTTCCTGGGATCGCCCTCACTCAGCATGTAGCACCCAGAGCACTTGAGGCAGGAAACATGGTGGCTCAAAGAACCCGGAGCAGACAGGCTCCAATGCTGGCTCCCGCACACACTCAGTAGCTGTGGCCTGAGGCGTGTTCCTTGTGTCTTTGAATTTAAGAGGTCACATCTCACTCTTTTGGTTGGCAGTGTGTGGGAAATGGAAACCTTGTGGTCCAAGGGACCTAGATCTTGATAATTCTAGCTGGGGGACCTTGGACATGTGCCTGAACCTCTAAATGTCTTTGCCATCTGGAGATCATGTGATGATCCCACTCAGGGATGCTGCGATAACTGTGTCCACGCCCAGTACTATACTGGGATGGGAAGTAATAAACACCTCTCCCTTGTGCACAGCCATGATGGGCTGATCTCTCCAGAGAACGTGAGCTCTAGGGTGAGAAGTGTGGCTTTGAATTCTTGCCTACAGCTGACTTGCTGAATGAAAGGGACCTAAGCCTTAATCTTCTTCCCAGTAAAGAGCAGTTCACATAGTGTCTGTCAAACGACTGCTATATTATCGGGATTCAGTTAATATTGGTCCTTACCCTTCCATGCTCCAGAGCAGGTCCAAGCCACCTGGGCAGACAGAGAATCCCTGTCTAGATCTGCTTTCAGCTTCAATGGTTCTACCTTGGGCAGCCAAGATTCTGGCATGACCTCTCCATTCACTGGACAGGGATCTGCGTGCCCGCCATCAACCACAATGGCGTGCCTATCAGAGGCCTCACCTGTCCTTGTGGCACTGAGGTGAAGCCCAGGTGCTGGTAAGAGATGAGGGAGTTCTTCATCGTGTTCACAGTAAAACCATAGAAGGAAGTCTTGGTGCCCACATCCTGCTCAAAGCCTTTGATCACTGCTCCATTGAGCCTAGCCAGAGCAGAGGCCCATCAGTGTCTTTGCAGTTATGCCATGTCGTCTGGTTTACTTCCCTCACCACAGGCAAGGCAGAGCCTCATTTGCCTGTTTGCACCAGTCTCTCTGCCCACGTGTCCAGAGACCAGCCCTTACCCCCACTCCTGTAACCCTTGAGGGACACCCTCTGAATGGGTGAATCTGGCCTTGGTAGCCTTTTCCTCTTGGGTTCCCCTGAATCAGGCACCTGCACTCTGTCTTCAGGGTTGGCTGAGCCTTTGTCCATGCCCATCTGCCCATCACAACTGTTGAGCCACCTCCAGCCAGTACCACCTTAGCCCTGGCCTCAGGGAAGATGTTCCCCCATAGTGGGCTAAACTGGAATCTCCTCCAAGCTCTTGTGTCCCATTGCTCCCTGGCCCCTGGCCCCATACCTGAACACGTAGTCATGGGTATCAATTTTCTGACCCTGACGGGAACCATTCAGAATGCCTCCATTACCCACCACAGCACACCGAATGCAGGTTGGGGGTGACTTCCTGGGGGCTGCAAATAGCCTCGCGCTCTCCGAACTGTTCAGAAGCCTCAAGGTGGAGACGATGTCTGTGGGTGAGGACAAGGGGGAGTCATGAGAAGGGATGTCTCTGGTAGCCTTCCCCAGACCGAGTGGCCTGGTGCCCCACCTCACCAGAGGTCTGCCCCAGTCCATCCCAAAAAACACGGTCAGCAGAGAATGGGGATCAGTGGGTGGAGAGAAACTGAGGAGTCAGCATGCAAGGGAGGGGAGATTCCAAGATGGTGACTAGAGGGAGGAAGCAGAAATCGTGCTTCCCAAAGCGGGCAAGGGAGCTTGCTGGACCTTCATTGGCCTTAAGAAGTGGAATAACAAGTCTTCTCAAGACTGTGTCCATTTCAGAAGAGAACAATCTGAGGTGTGGGGTGGGCCTGAAGTGTATGGCTTCCACAGCAGAAACCATGAGCAGTGCTGTAGAGACTGCTTGGCCTCTGTCCTCAGGCACTGGTGGACACTGGAAAGTGTCTAGGGTCCAGGGAGGTTCCTAGATGGTGAGAACCACGAGGCAGGGGCACCCTCTCCCACTCCTCCAGCCCTGGGTGTTCGGATGAAGGAGGAAGTGAGGCAAGAGTCACACAGCAGGGGAGTGAGAGTGCCACAAGAGGTTCCATTGCACCAACATAATGAGAGCCAGGCCTGGCCCACCCTGGGGTCAAAAGCTGGAAGAAGGGTCTCTGAGGCAGAAGGCAGATGAGAGGCAGCAGATGGCAGGTTACCTTGGTGGGAGAGCCCCTGCCAGCTGTAGGGACCTTTGTGTCGGCTCAGGCTGTCCCAGAGCTCTGGGGTGAGGAGGCCTCCCCACAGCAGCACTGGAGTGGAGAGATCAAACAGGTTCCGGAAGTGGCGGTGCTGCCGAATGGCCAGATGAAGTGGGTGTTGGCAGGACTGGTTCTGTGGGTGAGAAGAGCGGGCTGAGCCCTGTTAGGCAGGAGCTTAGAGGATGGCAAGGGAACCCCACAGGAGTTGGGAGGGAAGAGCTTCCTTTCCCCCTCCAGGTTGGGGCCGCACCTGGATCTGCTGACTGAGATGTCCTGCAGTCCAGCAGAGCTTTCTCGATTTGGCCAGCCAACCCTCCCTTTCCTAGATACTACATCTCCATGCTCTGATGATTCTGGCCTCATACTCTTCCACCCCACGCTTGGGCAAACTTTGAGCACTTTCCAACAAGTGGGTAATGCCCCTTCAGTGGTGGAGTTGGGCCTGGGTTTTAGAATCCAGCAGCCTGGATCCAAACAAACCTCAGCTCTGGCAGTACTCCCTGTATAATTCCCAGCAGTGTGAAATGGCTTCTGGGAAAGCTCCATAAGCATCTTTCTTTCTGTTGATGTTTATATTCAACCCACTGAGTGTCGTCCTCCCTTACCCATGTTGATCTAGGGAGGACTTTAGAGTGTGACTGTTGTGGTTTGGATACAAAGACTTATGTGTTAAAATCTTGGTCCCCAGCCAGTGATTTAATCATTGAGAGGTGATTGGACGATGAGCGCTCTGCTTTTGTCAATGAGCTAATCCATAGATGGACTCAGAATTTGATGGCATTATTGGAAGGTGGTGGAAACTTCTGGAGGTAAGGCCTAACAGGAGGAAGTAAGTCAATGGGGACAGGTTCTTGGGGGTATATCTTGTCCTGGGTGCTCTCCTCAGTCTCTCTCTCTCTCTCTCTCAATCTCCACCCCCACCCTCTGCTCCCCCACATTCTCTCTGCTATGATGCTCTCCCTCATCTCAGGCCCAGAAAAAATGGAGTCATGTGACCATGGTCTGACCCCTCTGAAATTATGAGTGAAAAGAAATCTTCCCTCCTTTTAAGTTGTTTTCTCAGATATTTGTCACGCCAATGGAAAAACTACCACAGTGAACTTCATCTGGGAATAGGGTCTTTGCAGATGTACTCAAGATGAAGTTATATGGGTTTAGGTTGGCCCTAAATCCAGTGATTTCTCTCCTGAGAAGGAGGCCATGTGATGATGGAGGCAGGGACTGGAGTGATGCAACTACAAGCCAAGGAACAACCTGGAGCCACCAGAAGTTGGGTCAGGGCAAGGGAGGCTTCCTTAGAGACCTCAGGGTGAGTGTGGCTCAGCTGACACTTTGATCTTAGACACCTGGACTCCAGAACAATTGGAGAATCAATTTCTGTTGTTTTAAGCCACCCCACCTGTGGTCATTGGTTCCCTCAGTGACAGGAAACACTGATAGCACCTCTGCACTCAGGGGCCTAGAGGGAGAGCAAGGTTCTCAACAGGCCCCAGCCTAACCTAGTGCTTCCTCACAATGTAGAATCTCACACAGCCTTGGCCTGAGGGCAGCTACTGTTGCTTCTGAACAAGGCCCTTTGTTAAGCTGTTGGTTTGATCCAAGGAGGACGGGAAACTGCTGTACAGTCATTTCTGCTACAATACGAATATCTGTAATTCACCACCATATACAGAACTGTGCAGCCAAGACCACGGGGCTCATGGGGGGATGGTACAACACTAAAAAATGTGGTGGGTGATGCATAAAACCAAAGAGAGAGACCTGAGAAAGACAGAAGCCTGTTCCATGGTTAAGGCACTTTTCTTAAACAAGACTTGAGGTTTGCTTGTGGAAGCATGTATCTGAAGGGCAGCAGCTTGTGAACTATTGTGAAATGGTGGGAGGAGAGTTGTTTGAAATCAGAAGGGGCGTTGCAATGCCAGGCAAGGGTGGATGAGCCCACACCACGTGTGATCCTGATGGGTATCTCAGGTGTACACAGGTATGCTCTCTGCATGTTCCTACATGGGTCGTTTCAATTCGGTGTGATTTCCTTCATTTCCCTAGTTTTGTCACCAACAACTTCACTATTTAATTTTGTCCAGTGGATGTTTTTCGAGGCCCTCTTTGCTTATTTATTTATTTTTGGTGGGACTGGGGTTTGAACTCAGGGCTTTGTGATTGCAAAGCAGGCACTCTGCTTGAGCTACACCTCCAGTTCATTTTGCTCTGATTATTTTGGAGATTGGGGGTCCCTCAAACTATTTGCCAATGGTGGCCTTGAACTATGATCCTCCCAATGACATCCTCCCCAGTAGCTCGGATTATTGGTGTGAGCCACAGGTGCTTGGCTTTCAGCGCCCTCTTTATGAGTCTTCAGGAAAACAAACAAACAAAAAACCATGTTAGGTCTGGAAATTCAGAAAGGCTGGCTTGCTTTTATTTCATGGACATGGTGGTACGGTTTACTTCTTAGCTCCGGCCACCAGAAAGCTCAGAGCTAGATACATGGCTCGTCTCTTCCACCTTGTGGCACACTTTTCATATCCTTATCTGACTTTGTTTTCCTACCCTTGCTTTTTCTTTATGCTTTTCCTCATTGTTTTCTATTTTTGCCTTTTAGTGTGGATTCAGCTTGACATGACTGCAGCCATCATGAGTCATAACCATTGGGCTTACTCTTGAGTAACCCTAGCTTGTTTTTCCTGCATAGCTTCCCAGCAAACTATACTAGACAAAACCATTAGGTCATCTGTGCAGCTTTACAGCTGGACCCTGGCTCCAGGGATGCACTTGACTCTTGGATATTATCTTAAAACTATATATATATATATATATATATATTTTTTTTTTTTTTGGTGGTACTGGGGTTTGAACTTAGGGCTTTGTGCTTTGCCACTTGAGCCATGCCTCCAGTCCTTGTATATTATCTTAGATAAACCAGGTACAAGCCAACTGCTGATGGCTCATGCCTGTAATCCTAGCTACTCAGGAGGCTGAGATCAAGTGGATTATGGTTTGAGGGCCAGCCCAGACAAATGGTTTGCAAGATCACACCTCCAAAATAAGCAGAGCAAAATGAATTGCAGGTGTGGGTCAAGAGGTAGAGTGTCTGCTTTGCAAGCATGAAGCTCTGAGCCCAGTCCTACTAAAACAAACAAAAACCAGGTACATTCTGGCCAGGACGAAGTCATTTTTGTCCTACCCCATAAGTAAACTCCTCTTTCTGGTCCAAATTGCGGGGATTCAACTGGGGTTGATGCTGCTCAGGACCACACTTCATCAGTAAGTCCCCTAAGAAGTTGTTCTCTGTGAAATCCTAGGTCTATCTGCCTCTCGTCTCATGGTACCTAGTACATTAGGACTGAGTTTTTCTGGAGCATCTATTTGGTGTTCAAAAGCCACCTCGGACCTTTGCTTCAAACCACGTAGAGATATATATGTCAATTAGCATCAAGTAACTTCAGGCAGAAAAGACTTTGGGAAGCTCAAAGATGACCTGGTCTGAGCACTCGAAAGATTTGTGAGGTTTCCCTTCAGCCAGCTGGTCAAGTGTCCATCAGGTTCTGTCTGTAATGTTGGATACCCACCCCCACCTGCCATCATTGGACCCTGTGGTTGTCATTAAGCTCTTGTATTCTGAGAAATTTTTTTTCCTTGAGTCTCTGAGACCGCAGCCAACATATCCCAGTTCAGTCTCTTTGGAACTGAAAACAACTCTTAAGCCTGTATTAATCCATAAAGACACAGGTCACCCAGTTCAACTGCAGTCCCAGAGCAGGGTGGGTGAGGGGGCAGGGAGGCTGGATCCCACTGTGGTGCACAGCTAGGCTCTGTGGTTAGATCAGGGCTCATATCCCAGGGCCACCTTTTACCACCCGAGTGAGCCTGAGCAAGGCACCTAACTGCTCTGTGTTTCAGTTTGCTCATCTAGAAGAGCTGCTACCTAGGGATGCTATGAGGCTGAGGTGGGAGAACACAGGTAGGGTGCTGTGTGGCACATCGGCACCTGTATTTGACAGTGGCTATTACTTAGGGTTATAGACCAGGGACCTGAAAGTTTTCAGATCTTCGGGTAAACATGGAGCATCTTCCTAGAGCTTGGAGTCTCCTCCACGGTCAGCAGTTTAAATGTGATTCATAGTAAGTAGATATTTCCAGGAGTAGAGTGAAAAACCACCTGACTTTTTCAGATACAATTTTTAAGATCCCCAAGAACTTTTCAACTGGCTACACCCCAGAAGTTCTTTCTTTCTTTCTTCTCTGCTGTTTGGTTACAGGAAACTCCAGTGGTTGGGTCTGAGATGCTCTTAGTGGATGGATGCTCAGGTTTGTGCTTCCCCTCCTCCTCCACTGACATGAGAATGCTCAAAACTGCCACGGGGTGGCTAACCACTGTACTTTCTGGTCTGAGAATTCAATGTCTTCAACTGAAAGAAGGCTGTGGGTGACAGAATGCCCCTGTAGGGAGAAAGCAGAAGTAAAGCAGGGGCTGGCTCTGTCCAACTGACCCCTTGGAAGCTTCTGAACTCATTTCCTTAGCTCTGGGGCTAACAAAGTGTCAGGATCTGAAAGGTGTCCATGCTGTTATTCTTGCTACATCTCCCTCTTGAGGCACACAAAATATTGTTTGAGCATAGTTGTGTTCAAACCCAGAAATTAAGGAAATTCTTCAGCGAGTGGCAGAAATGTGAAGTTTTTAGGAAAAGAGTCATGGTGCTTAAAATATGAAAATACAAAATAGGAAAGATTGCCAGCATCTGGAATTGTGATTGTTTGGGGCAGTTCCCCTACCAAAGCCCCAGAGGCAGGCATTAGGTCTGAAACGATGGAATCCCCTGCCCCTCAGATGGAGCATGGCCACTGCTCCAGCAGTGTCCTGTTGAAGGGCATGGCTCAGAGTCCTGACTCCGGGGTTTGCATCCTGTGTCTACCACTCGCTGGCTGAACATTCTCAGTCTGCACGGGCACAACAGGGATGATGGGTGTAATTGGGCCCATCTGATTGCTGGGAGGGCCCTACAGGCTGTCTAGGTGATAGCATATGAAAAGTGCCCTCTAAATGTAGCTACTGTTACCTACAGGAGGAAGGCAAAGGGCCATGTGCCAGCTTATTAGTGTCCCTTCTGAAGGGAGCTTAGGGGACTTTCCAGGTACGAGGTGGCCCCTGCAGCAGGGTAGAGGGACAACATGAAGGAAAGAATAGAGGCCCTAGCCCATTCAAAACGGTGATCAGGCTGCTCCTCCCTTGCCATTACCCCAGTAGCCACAAGGGAGCAGGTGGGGAGGATTTGGGACTGGCACTTTGAAGGTAACAAAGGCCTCTTGTAGGCGCCACTCAGGCCTGTGACTTGCCTCCCTTTTCCAGGTTTCCTGAAGACCGTGGAGTGACAGCCCAGAAAGAGCAGGGATGATCCCTTCTCCCTTTGCCCCCTCAACTGGCCACCTGTTACCCACATAATCCTACAACTCCTCCTTATGAGCCAAGATGACCCCTGAGGAGCTAAGAGGGTTTGCTCTGCCTAGGCAGCCCATGAGAACCCTGGGAGCTTGAGAAGCACCACCCCCACCTCCACCCCACAAACACCATCCCCCCCACCTCCACCCCACACCGCCACCCCAAAAACACCCCCCACCTCCACCCCCTGGGAAATTCTGATTTTTTCCAATCCCACCTCTCTACCCCACCCCCAACCAGGTGATTGCAATGTGCACCTGCCTTGACAACCAGCTGGAAGAACTGCTAAACAGGGCAGACTTGAGACCAGACTGCAGGGGGAGGGGAGTAGCTGGGGTGACTATAAATGGGACTCCTGTCTAATTCAGTTTGCTGCCCTGAACCCCCACCCTGCACCTTCAGCCTGATGCTTCTCCTCAGCATCCCTCCTTCTCAGGAGTCCAAGTGCTTCCAGCTACCTGCCTGGGGTGCCTGGACAGGGGGTCCAGAAGGCGGCTACCTACCCATGTCCCTTTTGGAAGTCTGAGGAGAAATAAGCATGACGGAATGCATTTTTCATAAAATTACATACATTCAACTGAGATCAGATTCTAACTAACAGAGTCCTTTCTTTCACAAAATAATGTTGACCTTGGATGATACCGGGAGCCCCAAGTTGATACTTCTTCCTCTATGAAAATATTTTTAGAAAACAAATTTAGAAATCCTCATGTCTGGAAGACAGACATGAGAATCCTGGTGAACCAGATTCTTCCATGAAGCCCAACTGGATTCCTAATAAAAGCCCCCCTCCTTGGGCTCCACAGACCCTGACCCAGCCACTCTTCCTCCTGGACGGTCCCCCGGCTCCCTGTACAAGAAGGCCCCACCCTCCTATCCTGGCCATCCACCTCTCATCCTTGCTTCTCTCCTGGACTAAATATTTACCTCCAGGGAGGCTGAGTCCTGACCTGCCCTTGGGATTTAAGTTACAACACAAACATCTCCAAGGAACAACAAGGAAACGGACAGGTTCTTGGGTCCTACATGATTTTGAAAAGAAGAAAGATCTTAAATTTAAAAGAGAAAGGAAAAAAGCTTTGCTGAGATCTAAAGGAGGTACAATAAGCTTCATAGATTTAAGGGGGATTAGGTGCTTTTAAAGGATGTTAGTAGTTTGGGGGTTAGAGGGCTCCCTTCATTCTAAGAGGACTGGACTCAGTCACTTGCGATCATGTTTCCTATTAGTTTGCAACTTGGGCGTGACCTTTGACCTTATCTCCTGACAGTAGTTACTAATTTTGTTGTTATCTGTGCCTGGAGCAAGGGTAGCTGAGGAATGCGCAGGTGCAAAAGCTCTAGGAAGGGAACGGCTGGGCGCAGAGGCTTTTATATGGGACTGTGGTTGCTCTCCCGGCCCCAGACTCGGGGTTCGGTGTGACCCACCTGCCAGAAGTAAAACTAAAGTGTTTTGAGGCTTCTGCAGTAACTGCAAAAGCGTCACCTGCCACAGGCAGACTCTCAGGTTTTTCCTGGTAGGACACAAAAGGAAGGTGTCCAGGACAAGCAGGCGCAGGGAGGGGGATCTCGGATAGACCCAGAAAGAGTCCTCCTCTTCGCCTAGTCGCGCCCGGGCCGTGCTTATTTTAAAAAGTAAATAAATGCAGGCCGTGCTTATTTAAAAAAAATAATAAATAAAAACACACACACACAAAACTGTTGAGCAAACAGGCCCAGAGAAAAGGGAGCCGGGTGTGGTAGGGCCGCGACCAGAGCGCGCGGGAAAGGCAACTAACTGGCCAGCTTCACCACATCCTGCCTGAGGATTCTGATAAAACTGGAAACCTGGGGACTTGCGGCCCTGTGCCCCAAAAATGTGAGTTCCCTGTGCGAAAAATTCTGAGTTCCCTAGACAAAAGGAACTGTTTATGTATTTTTATTTTAAATTAGACTCAGGAGACCCAGCCAAATTTCGACAATGGAGTGTTTCTAACCATGCCCGGAGGGAATTAACCAAGATGGGAGGGCGGCGGTGGGGGGATGTCGCCGGTGCGCAGCGCTCAGGTCCCTCAAGAAGCCCGGGCAGAGGTCGTGGGATCCCCGGAAGGCTCGAGAGTAACGCTAGGGACCAAGAGCCTGGACCCCCCTGCGAGTCACCGCATTGGGGTCCGCGCGGAGGGCGGGATGAGTGGACGGGGCGCCCTCCCTGTGCCCCGCGCGTCCCGCAGCCCCTACCTGGCCCCGGACCGGGACCCCGGGGACCGCTCCTCCGCCGAGATGTGCAGGACGAAGAGGATCCCGGAGCAGGCTGCTGCAAGCAGGAGCAGCAGCCAGAGGAGCCGGCCGCGCGGGAACCCCATGCAGCCCCGGCCCGTGGGCGCCCAGTCCGCTGCCCGGAACCGAGGAAAGAGGCCCGGGTGGATCGGTCAAGACTCGTGCAGGCGGCCGCCCTGCTCTGCCCTGCCCCGCCCTGCCCACCCGGTGCCGCCATAGCGCCTCCCCGTCCTGCAACCCCTCCACCCCTCCACCTCTGTCCCGGCCAGGCCACTGGAGATCTCCGCACCCTCGGGGACCGCAACACGGCCCCCCTGCCCGCAGCTGCGCGCGCCCCTCCGGGGACTTTGCTCCAGCCATTGTCACCACTCGGGACGCCCGCCACTGGCCTGGGGTTGAGCAGTGCGCTTTCCCCACACGGTCAAGGGCGGGCTGTGCCATTTTCATTCCCACCACCCACACAGGAGCGATCCATGTTCTGCACATCCTCAGCAGTATTTTGGTGGCGTCGCCGTGGGGTAGTGATCCCCCCGTTGTGGCTGTAATGTTCACTTCTCTCACTGCTCGGGACGTCCAACGTCTCCTCTGCTCATTTCCATATGGACAGTTCGTTTGTGCCTTTTGCCTGTTTTCCTGCTAAATTTAAGTTTTGAGAGTTCTTTATTCTACAGACTAGTTTCTGTCAAATGCGTGATTTGCCAGTGTTGGCTCCCTGTCTGTGTAGCTTAGTAAAATCTTTCCAGAGTAAAAGCTTTTAATGTGATGAGCCCAATTTATCAATTTTTCTTTTCTTTCCTTCCTTCCTTCTCTCTCTTTCTCTCTCTCTCTCTCTCTCTCTCTCTCTCTCTCTCTCTCTCTCTCTCTCTCTCTCTCTCTCTCTCTCTCTCTCTCTCTCTCTCTCTCTCTCTCTCTCTCTCTCTCTCTCTCTCTCTCTCTCTCTCTCTCTCTCTCTCTCTCTCTCTCTCTCTCTCTCCTCTCTCCTTTTCTTTCTTTCTCCTCCCTTCCTTTCCTTTTTTGGCAGTCATGTAGGGGTTTGAACTCAGGGCCTTGACAGCTCTACCACTAGAGCACAATCTCCAGCCCTTTTTGCAGGCTGGCCTGGACCATGACTTTGCCTCCCTAATAGCTGAGAGTACAAGTATTCCACCATACCTGCCTGATTGCTAAGATGGGGGTCTCACTTTTTGTCTGGGCTGGCCTTGAGCTGCAGTCCTCCTGATCTCTATCTCCTGAGTGCCTGGGATTACAGATAAGAGCCACATGCCCAGCTCATTAAAAAGTTTTTTTTTTTTTTATCGATTTGTATTTTCAGTGTCAAGTCTAAAGACTCTTTTGGTCCTAGGTCCCAAAGATTTTTCTCTGTTTTTTTTTTTTTTCCCTCTAAAAGCTTTACAGAATTACATTTTACATATAAGTCTGTGGGCCATTTTGAATTAAATTTTTGTATATGCTGTAAGGTATAGGGTGGGGCTCATTCATTTTGTCTGTGGATATCCAGTTGCTTCAGTGGCATTTGTTGAAAGGACACAATTTTGTTGTAAAAGCTACTTGGAGTCATTTTCTTACTCTTTTTGGCAGTACTGGGGTTTGAACTCAGGGCTTCTCACTTGGCAGGCGGGTGCTCTACCACTTGAGCCACACCTCCAGCCCCTATTGTCTTCCTCTAATACAGCTTTGCCCTCACTCTCCTTTGTGCTGTCACTTGTGAATACGTGGCTGATATTGGTGGCAGGAGGGGAAGGGGTCACGCCTCCAGAGTTAGAGTTGGGCGGCTGGCTGGGAGGGGTGACAGCTTGGTTAGAATGGGACTGGGAAGGGGAGGATTGAGGGTATGGGATGGGGAGCTCATTGGTATGGGAGGCTTATGTCCACCCGGTGACACCCAAGATCCCAGTCCCACCCATGTCTCAGAACCCACCCTCAGTTCTCATGACCAGTGGCAACACCAGGGAGCAATTGTTGGGTAATACAAGGGTGGGGGTGGGGCACCGGCTGGGGGCTGGACACAGGACTGGGGCCAGATGTTGGCCTGCTTTTTGTGACTTCACCCCTAAGGATCACCTCAAAAGCTGCTCTCTGGGGTGGCTGAGAGGTCCCAAGAGCACAGAGGGAGCTCAGCAGTGGCACTGGTTTCTAAGCACCCGATCCAGGGACAAGACATTGAGAAAGGCAGGGAGTGGGTTCAGGACAGAGGCAGGACATGGGTCAAAGGAGCTTCCTGCTGTGCAGGAAGGTGGGAGAGAGAAGACAAAGAGCCCTTTGTTCCCACCTCTCAGGATGCTGGGCCTGTGGAAATGTGTTCCTGTCTCCTGGGTGGGGTCCTGAGGGGGCTGTCTGCCCACCAGGGTGAGTGGCATGGATACTGGCCCTATCTCTTAGTTTCTAGAACAGTATTGTCAGTGGGTCCACAGATTCAGCTGTGGAAAGGCCTCTGTCATGGTTGCTTGTCTGTGTCCTTGAGCAGCTGACAGCTGGGTTGGCATTGGAGATGGCAGCCTGAAGCTGAGGCACTAGGCCTGCTCACCTATTCAGAAGAACTGCCCCTTAGCCTTCAGCTCACTGCAGCAGGGGATGGGTGGGACAGGGGGGCTACTGGGGACCACTAGGGTCACCTAATTATATGAAAGAGCTGGTACTTTTTTCCTGTTTTCACTGAATCTACCAAACTTGTTCCAATTATTTGTTATGGTGACCCCCCACTGTTTTTGTTTGTTTTGTGGTACAGGGGCTTGAACTCAGGACCTCACACTTGCTAGGTAGGTGCTCCCCCACTGTTTTTGAGTGCGCCTTCAGACTGAACTTTACCCTCTGAAAAAGAAGTCATCTTTGGGAAGAGGTTATGACCTATCAGCTTATAGCCCCTTCTCTCTCCAGGCCAGTTTTCTGAGTTAGGATTCTGGGGTTGGAGTGTGGACAGTGGCGTGCTGCTCCTCTCTGAACGAGATTCTTATTTTTGGGTTGGAGCAGTGGGTGGAGAGGAAGCCTTAGTTCTGGTCTTCTTGGTTTGCCTCTGGTGGGATGGAGTCACTGCCTTAGGAGCCCCAGGATTCTGGCGCCAAGGAGAGTCCTTACTTCCTGGCCACCCATGCCCTAAAATTACCTTGGCCTCAGCAACAGGTAGCTGGGGCACTGTGAGAAACAGCAGTGTCCTGCCCTCTCAGGAAGAAAGTCCTGTGATGGGGGAGGAGAGGAGCCTGCTGTTGTTGGCTGCACCGATCAAACTGGTATGGAGTTTTTGTCTCAATGAGCTGGGAGCGTGGAGAGAGGGGCAAGTTCAAAGTTGGTGTTTGGTTTAAATAGATTCTGCAACTTCAGTAGACTTTCTGGAATAGGTGTTTCTTCACTTGCTGCTTGTCCTAAGGATGGTTTCCTGAGGCTTTAAATGGCTGTCTTCTCATCAGTTTCACCAGAGAGTGTACCTGTAGAGTTCCTTAGGCTTGAAATTGGTCCCTTGCGTTACGTGTCAGTTTGAAGTGTTGTGGGCCGGGGTCGAGGGTCCTTGCCTTCACAGGCCAGCAAACTGGCTCGTGGGGCAGCTGTGAGGAGCCAAAGCCGGTATAGGAGGTGGGATTTATTAGAGAGAAAGGAAAGGCTACAGCTAGAGCAGTGCAGCGGAGCCTGGAAACCAGTAGCTCGCTGCTCAGGTGAAGGCTGGGGATTTTATGGACGTTCTAACTCTGGGTTGGGGGGTTTTCTCATTGGCTGTGCGTTTCACGGGCTTTCTCAGGTGAACTGGTTTGGTTTGCACCTTTATTGGGGGAGGGGAACAATCTTGGGAGCATTTTGCTCATCAGCCCAAGGTCTAGCAGACCCTGTATCTTTCTTTAGGATGCAGAAATGCAGTTTACAACTCCCTCTCAGGATGCAGGAATGATATTGCTCTCCATGGGAATGGGCTACTTACTCATCTGCCTTAGGTCTCCAAACCCACACTTGCAATGGTTTTTAATTTAATGTTTTCTTTGCTCTTGATTTGTTATCTTAAAATTTGAATTTTTAGGGAAATTTGCAATATGAACTGGATATTTGGATGTATCCATCAGTCTTCTGTGACTGAAACAAAATACCTGAGACTATCAATGAGAAGAAAGGCTTCTTTTGGCTTGCAGTTTTGGAAGTTTCGGTCCATGGCCAGCTAGCTCCATGGTTTGGGGGCTGAGGGAGGCAGCACGTCGTGGTAGAAGCACTTGATGGCGCAAAGCTATTCACATCGTGGCCAGGACTCAAAGAGAGGAAGAAGAAGGGGCTCCTAATCGCCTCTTCAAAGGCACATTGCAAACCTTTTGGGTTTTTTTTTTGGTGGTATTGGGATTTGAATTCAGGCCTTCATGGCACCTAAGCAGGTGCTCTACCACTTGAGCCACTCTACCAGCCCTTTTTTGTGTTGGGTATTTTCAAGATAGGGTCTCTGGAACTATTGGCCCAGGCTGGCCTTGAACCCATCCCTCCTCTTCTCTGCTCCTGAGTAGCTAGGATTACAGGTGTGAGTCATCTGCACCAGCTAGGATCATTGGGGTTATTCTTTTAAAGAGTTCCTATCCATTAGTAATATATTAGTGAAATATTTAGAGATAAAGCAATATGATACAATAATCAAGTCTTTTGTAGATGTGTAAAATACAGATGAAGCAAAGTTGGCTTTGAGTAACTATAACTGAGCTGCGTAGCGAAGTTCTTTACACTATTCCTTCTACTATTATAAGTTTGAAATTTTCCATAATGAAACATGAATTTTTGTTCTTTTTTTCTACATCTGAAATAAGCTCAGATAGTTTTAGAATGATAAAGTTATCTTTACATAATTAAAATTGTTAAAAGTATTATGAATGTCATAGAGTTGGACTACAGATTGGATTACGGTTTCGCAAAGCAAAGAGATCAGAACTTCACGTGTAGGCAACTTTGCAAAAATGCATCTTTACTAAATCAATTTATTTCTCAGCATGTGAAATGGCTTGAATTTCAATCAAGTTCCTAATCAAAACTTATTAAATGTTCTCATTGTGTATCAGAAATTGGTTTTGTCATTTCAATCAAAGTCATTTTTAGATGATTAATGATTTTATGAAAAAAAGGAAAATGATAAAAATTGTTGCAGTTGTGTGTCAAGAATTTATAA